CCCGGATCAGGGTGGGGGTCCTGCTGGGGTGCCTGGCCAGCCTGGGTGAGGGGCTGAGGGCTGTTTTCAGGCTGGCCATGCCCATGGGCTGGAAGCAGGTATCTGGGATTTATTTAGCTTCTATAATTGAAACTTTGTTGCCTTGAGTGGAGGCCTCAGGACCCGCAGAGCAGGCGGGAAGCTTGGCTTCCTCCATCGCCCAGGCAACCAAGCCTCCTGCTTGCTCCAGCTCCATGACTGCCAGCTGCCAGCTGCCATCTTGGTTGGGTTAATTTGCATATAGTCACTCTGATTGGCTGGTGGGCATGGCTTAGGGCATAGTGAAGGTACAATCAATTAGCATCTTTGTCTTTTATTAGTGTAGATTAGGGTACTCCTAAGCTGGCCTTTGCTAAAAACGTCCTCTCTACTTCCTCTCACCCTCATCTTCCTCTCACCCTCATCCTCTTCTCCCCCTCATCCTCCTCGCCAAAAGGCTCACCTCCTCCCTGGCCAAAAAGCTCCTCTCTCTCGCCCTCTGCCTCCTGAAAAAAAGTTAAAACCTTCTCTTTCTAATGTTCTTCCACTTCCTTTGTTAAAGAGAATGATTGTCAACCTGGAATGAGGACCCAAGACAGATGATGGCAGTGCTCAAGGAGAGCCCTACTGCTGTGCGTGAGCTCAGCGCTGCTGGTTCCAACTAAATATATCCAAGGACTTCCCAGTGTGACCTCGGAACCCCTACTGGTAAATATCCTCAGAAATCAGGACGCTGAGAGGTAGGGGGGAGGGAATTGGAGATGGGGACATGTTGTCCAACTTTGAGGACATAGATTCCTGAAATGACAGACTGGTATGTCTGATGTTGACCTGTGGTCAGATTTTCAGCTCAGAATCCAAGTCAGCACTTTGTCCTGGAAGGATCTGGGCCCCAGGGCCCCAGACCTGCACTTGAATCATGGCCACGTGGCCCTTGGCAAGTGACTTTACCTTCGTGAACCTTGTTTTCCCCTTTCTGCAAAGCAGATGTAATACACATGCCTTCCAGGGGTGAAGGTTAGCAATGATCTGTGTAAAGTGCCTAGAACAGTGTCCAGGACGCTCAATCAATAGTAACAATGACTGCATTGTGGAGATGATTATTGCTGCCTGTTTTATTATTGGCACTCACAAGTCCTCTGCTCTGGGTACCTCCTTTGCCTTTCTTTTCCAGGCATATCCTTGGCTGTAGTCCCTGTTTCCTAAGTCGCTTCCGGTGTCCAGGCAAAATGATGGATTCTCCTACACTTGGGAATCCCCGTGGCCCACCCCAGCCAGGGCTGTGTGTAGGTGAGTGGCATGGAGCAGTAAGTAGCACCACCCAGTGGCAATCTATTTACCAGCCACATTAGCAGCTAGCCTAAAGATTGAACACCTTGGAGGGTCACCGACTTCCGTGGTTTGTCCAATGCTTGTGTGGTCCATCCAGTGCTTGCGTGTGCCATGGCATCCTCCCAGAGGCTTTCCCATGCCATGCATTGGAGTAAACGAATGAAAATCAAAATAGACAAGTTCTTCGTGTATGGCTCCTCAGAGACCACAAGATGGCGCAAAAGCAAAGTTTTTTCAAAGCGTCCCACCAAATCCGCAGAGACAGAAAGGAGATTGATCCATGGTTAGTGGTTGCCTAGGGCTGGGGGGTATGAAAGAAACCGGGAGTGACTGCTAAAGGGCCTGGGGTTTGTTTTCAGGGTGATGAAAATGTTCTCAAAATTGATTGCGGTGACGGTTGCACAAATTTATGAGTATACTAAAAACCACTGAGTTGTGTATACACTATTAAATGGGTGGACTGTATGGTATGCGAGTTATAATTCAGTAAAGCTAATACCAAAAAAAAAGTTGAAAAGAATATCAAAATGTTCAAGGAAAAAGTATCTCCAAAGCATATCATCGGATTTTATGTGTGCTATTTGACAACTTCTACCACCTGCCTGTGGACCGAGAACTCGGGTCACGAGAGGGTGTCTGTCATACCTCACTTGAGACCTACTTCTACAGGAAAAATGTAAACCCTCACGTCCTGAGCAGCTCACATGCAAATATTCTCAGCCCTGTGAAGGCATTATTCAAAATAGACCAAAGTACATGATCTACAATATATAGGATTGATGCCTGGGGCCCCCCATTAGCCATATTCTTGGTATCCACAGAGCTGTACCCCAGGTGAGCCTGGGAACTTCCTTTCTAGGCGAGGAAATCAAGGGTCAGAGGTTCAGTAGCCCAATTGAAACCAGCAAGTGGGTGGGTGGAGCTCTAGTCTCAGCCTCAGCCTTTGATTCCACACTCAGAGCTCTGGCCATTTCAATAGGGGACCGTACATCTCACTTTACATCTGTCGTCCCTGTGAAATTATTAGTGTCTTATTAGTCACACTCCTTTCCCTCTCGGGGTAGTAAATGTCATGGCTGCCTAACCATGGGGCAGTCTTTTCCCTGGGGCTCTGCCTCCCCTGTCACTAAGATTGAGGCCTCAGAACTGGCGCTGTGGTCAGGCCAGCAGCACCTCAGCACTTCCTGAAGCACCCAGCAAACCCCTCCCCTGCCCAGCACAGGAAAATCCGTAGATACAGAGTAGATTAGTGGTTGCTGGTGACCTAGGGGAAGAGAGGAATGGGTTTCTTTTGGGGGATGATAAAAATAATTGAAAATTAGTTGTAGCGGTTGCACAACTTTGTGAATATACTAAACACCACAGAATTTTAAAAAGGAAAAAAGGTGAAGATGGGACACAGCAATGGGCTTTCCTAAACATGCATCACTGCTGGCCTTAGCACCTAGCATGGTTAGAATAGGACAGCAGCGAGCAGGATTAGGTGAATAGAGCAGGAGAGATTAAGCATAGTCCCCACCCCACTCCACTTTTCCTATAAATAAGGCTGATTACTTTGTGGCCAGCACTACTGTTTACACTTGGGCATCAAGATAGCCCCAGAGGCCGGAACCGGTTTGGCTCAGTGGATAGAGCGTCGGCCTGCAGACTAAAAGGTCCCAGGTTCGATTCCGGTCAAGGACATGTACCTGGGTTGCGGGCACATCCCCAGTGGGAGATGTGCAGGAGGCAGCTGATCGATGTTTCTCTCTCATCAATGTTTCTAACTCTCTATCTCTCTCCCTTCCTCTCTGTAAAAAATCAATAAAATATATTTTTTAAAAAAACAACTTAACCCCTTCCCCGGCAGAAACGTGTATACACGTTTTCACAAAATGTTCTTTTTCAGTCGTCGACGAGTATACCATGAAAATATGGTAAAAAAATATGGTTTATAGGAAGACGAGTTACAAACTGTTTTCATAACCAGCATCAAAAATACTATATAGAACCAAAATAAAAAAATTAGTCTGAAAAAGAAACGTTTTTAACAAAAAAATTGTTGGGGAAGGGGTTAAAAAAAAAAAAAAAGATAGCCCCAGAGAAACACCAGAGCAAGGCACACAAAGGCCTGAGACATTTAATCCCCACAACCCTTTGAAACAGGTATTATCGCCATTTAACAGTTAAGCAAACTGAGGCTCAGAGACAAGGAGGCTGAGAGTAATTGGCCTGAGGCCAGCAGCTAGTGAGGGACACCTCTGGGATGTGAATATGGCTATCAGGGGCCCAAGTGTCTGCTGAAGCCACTGTCCTAATGTGTCCCCACTTACCCAACTCACCAAAATCACTGCAAGACGAAGACTGCAGTTGGAATTGTCATGAAAGTACCAGTACTGCTAACGGCCCAGGGCCAGGAGAGTACCCCTGTGGTTGTCTTTTGTACAAGTGCCCTGGGAGTTTTCAATAGAAAGTCAGCTAAGATAGAAAAGGGGGGATTTTAAAGTAGTTCAAGACATTCAGAAGCACATGGCCGCCTTCTCTTCCTTCCAAAGCAAGCTTTTTATTGTTCAACCGATCGACAGTGTTCAGTGAAGCCTAGCACTGTACCAAGCACACTGTACTAAGCATAAATACACAGTGTAAGACAGTCCCAGCCAATTTAAACATAGAAGCTAAACATTTCTCAGAAATGACTCCGTGGTTAAACAAGCGAAACTGGACTTAGTTGACCATATTGCAATGAACAGTCTTTAAAGCCAACATTTTAAAGAAAAACATTACACCTACACTTGTTATGGTATGCAAGTTCTCCCCAGTAATATCAACTTCATTGTTATCAATAAACAAGGTTTACTTTTCTTAAAATTCACCTTTATTAAAATTCACCCCTGTAATTTCAATAGATTTTTTTTTAAAGGAACTTTAAAAGGTAAAGTAGTGGAAATGTGTAAAAATTTGGCCAACAAATGTCTGAGCAAATTTGTTTTGCTATACTAAAGAGCTATACTCGAGACTACTGAGAGAACCTAGCCCATCTCCAGGCCATTTTCATTAACATTTTGACAACATAAAGCATTAAGACATTACCACTATCCAGAAGAGGGAGTCAGTACCATGGACAGCGGTGCAGGCTAGACTACCAAGAGGGCGAAATTTTGCACTAACTTAGAGGCAATAGATACGAGGGGTTGGGGGGAATTTTGTCCCCCAAATTAACCTCTTGATTCTCTCACAAACTCTCATAACTCACAGGTGTTAGCCCAAACCGGAAGTTGGATTGAGAAAGGAACTAGCACAAGGGGAGGACTGGATAATTCTCTAGTGTTCCTGTAGTCTGGATACTCTAGTGAAAAAGATCACTGACTCCTTGAAATAAAGTATGTTACACCAGGAAGTCTGGGCTAGGCTGCAGCTGAAGGGAAAAATTCCAATCTGAACTTCAAACCTGTGGTAAGCAAGCACCTTTTGCTCTAAAGCACTGAATAGTGAGCATCTAGCTCTGGCAGGGATGGGAAAGAATGCTAGTTCCTTCCTGTTCGTAGACTCTGAAGTCTAACAGGGTCCCGGGTATGCAGAGACGCCAGGGCCAGGGCTTCGCAACTGGACTTGGTCTTCCTGCCAGCAACCCTTCTCCTTTCCACCATGAAGGTCACTCTGGCTCCTGTGCACCCGACAGCCCTCAGGATTCCTCCGTCAACTGTAGAGATGATCATCAAGGCTACTGAAACAGGAGGTAGTGTACAAAACGTAACGCTGGTTTTTCTTAAACTGTAACACTGGTTTTCTTATAGCAGATCCAAGGCACCGTGTGAGGAAGCCACCCCACGCCCAGCCACACATCCACACTTGCTCCTTGCACACACACAGGCAGCTGGTTTCGCCACGATGCACAGGAATGAATTGCTTCCAGTCACTTCTGGTTCTTAAGCTGGCTGGAGAGCCAGTCCAGGCCTTCGTAAAACCCGTCTCCACTGGTGGCGCTGGTAGCCTGGATGTGCCAGTTTCTCTGGCGGACGGACTGTAAGCCAAGCTTGTCTGCTATTTCTGCTGTGCTCATAGCATTGGGAACATCCTTGAAAGAGAATATTCAAGTCAGTTTATAATGTTGCATTCATATAATGAAATATCATGCTCTTAAAAATATATATGTCATGCACTTCTCCCCAAACCCACCCCAACCCACAGACTTATCTCAGCTGATGGCAACTCTAGCCTTCCAGCTGCTCAGGCCCAAAACCTTAAAAATCATCCTTAAATTTTTTTCTCTTTCTCACTCTCACAACTCCACAGTAGGAAATCCTACAGACTCTACCATCTAAATATATTCAGCATCTGACCATTTCTCACCTCACCTTCACAGCTACACCCCTAACCCCACCACCATCATTTCTCATTTGGATTACTTACATAACTTCCTTATTGGTCTCCTTGCTTCTGCTCTTGCTCCCCTCAAGTCTATTCTTAAAAGTCAATTAAAATCAGATCAAGTCATTCTTCTATCAGAATCCTGCAACAGCTCACTCTCTCTGGGGTTCAGAGTCCCCAGAACAAGGTAGATCCGTTGTATTGATATGGAAGGTTGGTCAAAGATATGCTAATTGAAAAAAGGCAGGTTGCCAAACAGAATGCAGACTATGATCTCCACAATTTCAATGTGTATATACTCATTTAACTGCTTATATAGGCATAGAAAGTTCTACCTCTGGAAAGAGGTAAGGAATGTAACAATGTTTTACCCTGAGGAGTGGGGCTAAGTATTTCACTTCACTTGATATTCTGAACTGTTTGCATACTTATACCATGAACATATTCTGCTTTTATAATTAAAACAATAAATCTGTTCTTTTTTTTTTTTTTTTTGAAAGTCCACTATGTTCACTAGTGAAATTCTGGACTGACATTGAACCTAATAGTAGGGTCCCGGTTGAATAAATGATGATCCATTTGCCCTTTAAAATCATGTTTACAAAGAGATGAATGACAAGAGAAAATGCTTTCGATAAATCTGAAGTGACAAAACAGTATGCAACGCTGTCAAAACAGTACGATTTCGATTTTAAAATGAATATATTCATAGAGGAGAGAGTGGGAGGAAACATCCAAAGGTAACTGTCGTTATCTCAGTCTGTCTGGTACATTCCACATGATTCCACCTTCTTTCCCATACTTAGTTCAGCTCTGAGTCCCGTTCGACACCGTGCCCTCCTCCCACTCTTTTACAGCTTATATTACAGCTCCTCCTCAGTGATAGCCCCATGAGATCTAATCATTCCCTCCCTTGTCCACCCCCAACTCTGCTGCAGTGTCCCTGGCTGCCGTGCTGTTCCTGGAACCCTGGGGCTCCCCTCCTGCTGGACTTCAGGTCTCTGCTCAGATGTCATCTTATCAGAGAGGCATCCTGGCCCCTCCCCACATCCGTTCTGCCCCTTCTCTGCTTTACCTCCCTCCACAACACTTCCACCAGACACATCACATGCTATGTGCTCACTGACTCTCCCCCACTGGGATGTAAACTCCATCAACACAGAGACTTCTGTCTGCCTTGTTCACTGAGACTATCACCAATCCCTAAAACAATGACTGGAACTTTGATGCTCAATGAATACTTGTTGAGTGGATGAATGAATGAATATAAGACATATGCTATAAAGGAGGTGGAGGGAAAGGTTATGGTAGGGACTGGAGAGAGAGAGAGGCAGACATCTAATTTAAATATCTATTAGTTTTAAGTGATCAACTAGCAGTAAATTGCAGTTCCAGTATTCAGAAAGCCAACAACATACCTGTTTATTTGCAAACACCAACAGTACTGCATCCATGAGCTCATCCTCCATTAACAATCTGGTTAGTTCTTCTTGGGCCTCACTGATCCGTTCTCTGTCGTTACTATCGACCACAAAAATCACACCTGGAGAGAAATCACAAGCATGGTAGTGATCTGAACCTGGAAGTGGCAGCTGTTTATATCTCCTTACAGCTTCTCCCTGCTCACATGTGTGTTTTCACGGAAAGCAGTCCTATGGAAGAATCTGTAATCCCGAGAGTTAGGAAGTGTACTGTACACCAACTAACCTATCTTTTTCAGAAGCATCAAAGCCCTTTACCAGATTATACAAAATATACAGAGAAATATACAAAGAAAAGGTTTTTAATCTCTCATTTTTTAAAAATACGTTTTTTGTTTATTTTAGAAAGAGAGGAATGGAAAGAGATGGAAATATCAATGTGAGAGAGAAGAGAAACATTGGTTGACTGGCTCCTGCATTCCCCCTACTGGGGATTGAGCCCACAACCCGGGCATGTGCCCTGACTGAGAATCGAACCTGCGACCTCTTGGTGCACAGGACGACGCTCCACACTAGCTAGAGAAATCACTCATTTTTAATCCCTTCATTTCTGCATCAAACCTACAAAATAAAGTTCCAATAAAATTCTGGACATCAACATTCAGGTAAGTTTCCCTGGTTTGGCAATACTCTGCATATATCACACATCAATGTGCCGGAAGGGTAATGCACTCCTAACTCTCAGGATTATATACAGGGTGGGGCATAAGTAGGTTTGCAGTGGCTTGTGTGGAAAAAAAAACATGCAGATTATGACTATTGCAATAGCTTTTGGCATGTACATACTTAGTTGCAGGCTCCTCCCCAGCCCAGGCCCTGGCCGGGGGCTGGTGCAGGCAGCAACCAATCGATGTGTTTCTCTATCTTTCCCTCTCATCCACTCTTCCTAGAAATCAATGGAAAAATCCCCCCCCCCCCGCAAAAAAACCCCAATAGCTTTATTAACACTGTGTTTTATGTACTCACAATGGTAAATCTACTTTTACCCCACCCTGTATCCTTCCATCTGATTGCTTTTAGTGAAACCACACATGTGAGCAGGGAGAGAACAACGGAAGCTGTGTGTTGGTACCACCGGGATCTCTCCCTTTGGTTCATTTGTGTCCTTGTAATAAAACTGTAATGGTAAGTATATCCCTTTCCTGTGTCCTGGAAGTCATTCCAATGAACCTGAGGGGGTAGTGGGAACCCCAAACTTGCAGCTGGTGCCTGAAAGGAGCCTTGTGCACATGACCCATGAAGTTTGGCACAACTCCAGATAGCTAGTGTCAGAAGTCTTTGCGGCATCCCAGAAAAATCCCAGGAAGCCAGAGACAGGTTGAAGAAAGGTGCTGCCACACTGTATCTGAGCAAATTTCGTTGAAACCTGCACAGACCTGGTGACTGCCACATTGGCTGGGGAAAGAGGTGGTACAAGGATCTCCCAAAGGAGGTGCCCAGGAGACTCCAACATACCATCCAAATACAGGATGGGGGAGCCTTTCTTAGCAGCAATCCATGTGGCAATAACGGTAATGACCACGTGGGGTTCAGGTGACAGGAAGCTCTCTCTCAGACAAGAATGTGGTTGCCAAAAGAACAAATTTGATCCTCAGCTGTATCAACAGCAGTGAAAGTAGCTTAGTTTTTAGGACATGGGTGATAAAAAGCCCACTCTATTGTATGTCGGTCAGAATATCCTGGGAATGTTATGTGGTCAGTGCTGGACCCCACATCCTAAAGGACAGGCAAACTGGAGGGATTAAGAGAATGACTAGGATGGAAAAGGAATCAGATACCATGTCATCTGAAAAATAACTGCTATAACTGGGGATATTTTACCTGGAGAAAAGACTCATTGCGGGGACTGCTGATCGTTGTCTTCAGATATTTAAAGGGCTATGGCATAAAGAGAGATTGAACTTGTTTTATATAGTAGATGGAAGGTCAGTGGGTAAAATCTATAGTAAGTCAACATGATAATGAGTCAACAGAACTGAAGCAATGAGCTACTGAGGGGGCTCTCCTGTGACTGGAGGTAGTCATGCCCAGCTTAAGCCACAACTTGTGGGGACACTGCAGAAGGGACCCTGCTGGTAAGGAGAGGGTAGTGAGATAAGATGTCCTCTAAGTTCCTTCTATGAGGTTTCACGACTTTATCTAGGAGGGAAAGCCAGTGCTGGCGCTCTGACCCATCCCTCCATGCTTCCCAGTCCTCCCACCCCCTCCAACAGCTGCCGGGCCAGCCGCTCTGGAGCAGCCCACTCCGGGAGACAGCTCAACAGCTTCTGAAGGTTTGGGGCTTGCACGTGAGTCAAAGCCATGTCTGTTATAGCACATCAGATTTTAAAAGTGCAAAACATTCAAAACTCCCCCCCAAAATATGAATGCTGCCAGCAGTTCTGGACCGTGATCATCACTAAGCAAACCAGGTTATCCAGAAATTTGAAGAGATCCTTAGAATCATTAGTTTCTAATGCAAAACAGACAAGGGGGAAGCCGGCATAGTACTAGTATTTCTTTGCCATTCCTAATAAAAATAAAGGTTTATAAATATTAGGTACCTTTTCATATTCTATTTTTATAGGGATCCTTATCTGAGAAACAAAGAACCTTGCATCAGACTGACTATACTTTGGCACTAAAAGAACCTAGAAAAGGTGAACTGACACATGAGTAGCATACTGTAATTTGTTTTGTAAATGGGGGAGGAATATGTAATTATAGCATACTTTATACTGCATAAAATACCTTTGGGCAGATATACAAAAAATAAAAATTGTTGCCTACAGGAAGGGAACTGGATGGTTAAGGGACAGTGATGAGCTGATGACTTTTTATTATAGACTTTTATTTCCTTTTGAATTTTGAACCATATAAGTACATTGCCATTTAACAAGTTAAAATTACCTGCAATCAAAGAAAAATCTTTCCATGTGAGAACTAATAGACCATTTTATGCATTATATATGATATAGCCCCATCTTTAAGAAACCAATGATAAGGAAATATAGTAACAATCCGGGATATTCATGCCTATACGTGTACGTGTAGAATACTAGTATAGGACAGCGGGGAGGGACTGTGACCACACAAGAGGCTGGAATTTGGGATTTGGGGATTCAGCCATCTCTGTTCATCTCTTTCTCTCCAGAGGAATGATTTTTAGATATTCTCACTAGGTTTAAAAATGTTTAGTGAATTCAGATTCTTCAAAAACTGGTACCTCATCCAAGGACACCTATAACTCTCAACCAAAGAATGAAATTCATCAGGATAACCATTTTCTAACCATTACTTGATTAAAAGGAGTTTCCTACATTGGGCATTAAAGCCCGAGTACTTTTTCTAGGAATGCAGGGACCATTTCGCAAAAAGAAATCTCCCCAGTAAGCATAAGTGAGCCATCAGAAGAGAAGGGACGACTCACGGTCCAAATAAAGCAGAGCACCACCAGGGGCTTCAAGCATGTGTCTTTTTAAGAAATATATATTGTTATTGATTTCAGAGACGAAGGGAGAGGGAGAGAGAGATAGAAACATCAATGGTGAGAGGGGATCATTGATCGACTGCCTCCTGCATGCACAACACTGGGGATCGAGCCCACAACCCGGGCATGTGCCCTGACCAGGAATTGAACCGTGACCTCCTGGTTCATAGGTTGACACTCAACCACTGAGCCACACCGGCTGGGTTCAAGCAGGCATCTTTAGATACATTTAATATAAACGGCTCCAAGGCTGTGGACTGGATAATCCTTACCTTTGGTGTCCTTGAAATAATGTCTCCACATAGGTCTGTGTTTACAATGGCTGTTGACATCCCAGATGGTGAGGCTGATATTGTTATATTCCACCGTCTCCACACTGGAACCTAAAGTGAAAGGATGGAGACAAATTTTAATGATGACTCTTGCTGGTGGAACAATTCCAAATAATTTCAACTGACATTTGGCCAGCTTTAACATTTGGACTTTTAATTTACAAAGCAGCTTGCTAGTCAAAGATTTATAACTTACAAAACAGAATGTTAGTCAGCTTGCTCTCCCATTCAGACCTTCCCGATTCTCTCCAACTTCCCCCTTTCCCCCTCCCACTTTTCCCCTTTCCCGCAGCAAAAAGATCTTTTTCTTTTTTTTTAAAAAAAAGATCTTAACAGTGTACTTGAGAGCAAACAGAAGCCGTTAATGGGACTGACTTCCACTTTCCAACACACAATGTAGAAACTTTTCCTTCCTCCCTCTTAGAGCCTTTCTCACCCAGGAATTTGGATCTAGAGGCAGTTCTCCAGGCAAAGATGAAGTTCCATCAAAACCGCTTTGCAAAACCCTTAAATAGCCCACAAAACACAGTGCTGGTTCATAGGAAGGCTGGTCTACAGCTCTGAAACAAATCAGATTCTTCAGTTGGACACCAGCTCAAGTAGTTGGCTCCAACCAGAGTGAAGAAAAAATAATCTCACTGCATCTTTAAACACTAGGAGGTACTTGGAGTGGAAAGATGCTTCCACTGAGGACGGCCAGCTGGAAGGAAGACTGGCTGAGGAGGGAACAGCAGATTTCCAGCTTCCCTCTCAGGCCGAGGCTGGGACACATCCTGAGAGGAACGGAGGGCGTAACTGCCCTCACTGTTTTAGTCATTATTATCTTTTACTTTCTTGCCTAGCAGCTAAGGATAAATTTGCTTAACCTAAATGTGTTTGTATGACTCCCCTGTAAATCTAGGAATGTGCTGGAGACATTGGAGAGCAATTTGTTAAGTATACATTACCTGGTTTTGGCATCAAAAAGTTTACATTCTTGGGATAAACAAGATTTTCGAAAAGAAATAGTCAATAATATAAGCAGCATGTTAAGAGTTTAACAGACTAAATTGTAACTTGGTGTGGCCACAGGTTGTTAACATACCTACTGTAGGGACGGTAGCCACAATCCTTCCCAGCTTCAATTTATACAACATGGTAGTTTTTCCTACTCCATCCAAACCCAAAATAAGAATCCGCACCTCCTTTTTCCCAAACAGACTTTCAAACAGTTTTTCAAAAACATTCCCCATGGTAATTGAATTTGGTTACCTGGGTAAAAAGAAAGGCAAGTCAAGAGCTATGCAAACATACATAAAATTTAAGTCTCTATTAACGGTGGGTCCTAGTAAAACTTTTTAAAATCATTTTTTATTTTTCAATGACAGTTGACATGCAATATTATATTAGTTTCAGTGATGAGACATTATATAACTTACTAAGCGATCCTCCCAATAAATCTTGTACCATCTGACCCCATACATAGTTATTAGAATATTGTTGACTATAGCCCCTAACTGTATTTTACATACCCACAACTATTTTGTAACAACCATTTGTACTTCTTAATCCTTTCACCTTTTTCACCTTTTCACCGATTCCCCCAACCCCCCCCCCCAATCTGGCAACTATCAAAATGCTTTCTATATCTATGAGTCTGTTCTGCTTATTTGTTTATTTTGCTTAGTTTATTTTCCTTAATTTAACTTACTGATTTGAGAGAGACAAATAGAGATGGGGGTGGGAGTGGGGCAGGGGGACATCAACTTGTTATTCCACTTAGCTGTGCATCCATTGGCTCTAACCAACTGAGCTACCTGGCCAGGGCTGGCTTTTTGGTTGTTTTTTAAATTCAATTTAAACCATCTTAAGTACACTTTTGTCAATAAGTAGTAGTATGTCTTTTTTTCAAAGGCAAACTCAATTAAGCCTTTTGATACCTTACTGAAAAATTATCTTTTCCACTGCAGCATCTAAGTGGGGTAGGGAGAAGCCAGGTCTCAATGCCACCACTGTGATGGCAGGCTTTAGCCACCTTAAGTCAGGAAGCAGTGCTACAATAAATATATCTAAACTCTCTTGAAATGAGAACTTAGAGAACCAGTTTTCTTTACACATGTGAAGCAAAGTGCTTAAGGTAGGTTCAATATCAACATATCTTCGAAATTTAGTTAGCTGCCTGTGGCTAGCAGACCATATCAATACCCAGAAAATAACCAAACATTTTTCAGAAATACGTACAGCATTGGGAAACCGCCCTGGAATCAGTGAAATTAACTGGGGAAGAGTTGAGGCCATACCATAGCATCCAATATTGACTATCACCTTATTCTCCATCAATCTTTAAAACTATTTATTGGAATATAATTTACATACAGACATAAACATTCATGATAACTGTACAGTTTAATGAAATGTCATGAACCAGATCAAAAGAGATGGTTGCCAGTGACCTAGAACTCTTTGTACCCCCTCCCAGTCATTATCCTCCAAAAAGGTCATCACTATACTGACTTCGAACAGCAAAAATGTTCAATATTTTATTTTTCAGTAGAATATAGGACAGATTCTATAAGGAAGGCAATAGTAAAGACAGACTGGTTTTGCAGAAACTTATAGTCTTTTCACAAATCAGCCTGTTAGTAGTGTGAGCTTGAGATTCTAATTAAAGACTTGAAACTAGTACTGTGTTCATGCCTCTAACCAAGCTCCTGGAAGGCAACAGAGATTCTTCAATCAGAAAAAAAAAAAATCCTTATTCTGCCTGACTTTCCTAACCAAAGGAAAGCTTTACTCCTGGGAAGAGGCAACCAGGACAGCCAATCACCCATGCATCCTGCCCTCAGTGACCTCAGAGGGGAGGTCACCCTATTCCAGAGGTCCTACCTGAAAGCAAAGGCTTCCTACAGTAGCTAAACGTCCTGGATGATGTCCGGTACAGGCCATTCTATGCTACGACCAGAGAAAAGGAGCACAGCACTAATCCTGTATAAAAATGCGGTATAGGCTGCTACAGCCAAAGAATGCACGCTCCAATCCTTCATAGAAGGTCCACATAGGAAGTACAGGAAAGTCCAGGGCGTCGCAGCACTTGAAATTTTGTTGGGCGACAAAATAGAGATTTGTCTTTGTTTCTAACAACAACAAAAAAATCTCAGTTAAGAAAAAACATAAGAAGCTTGCTGTGAGAAGGAAGGTACCTCTATCCTGGGAGGCTCCATCTCCTCTCCCAAACACCCCTGGCACACCTCCTAGGTTCCCCTCCCGCTGCTCCTTGTCTCTTCCTACTCATCTTCCAGAGGCGCCCAGACCTCGGGAGGAAGGCGGTGGCGACCCCAGTGCCTCTCTGGCACATTCACAACCACAAGAACGAATGGCCCAACAGGGCACGAGGTGCCCCCGCATCCCCGGAGAAGGCCTACGAAAGCCCTTGCTGCCCAGCCACCAAGCCGCTGCCTCGCCACCTGACTGCCGCCGGGAAAGCTTAGGGCCCGGCGACAGCCGCGCCAGGGCTCTCGGAGCCCCGCAGCCCGCAGCCCCGCGCTGCGGAGGACGGAGAGGGGCCGGGAGCCCTCGCCCTGAGCGCAGGCCGCGCGCTGCCCTCTAGGTCCCTCCCTCCCGCAGGCGGCGTGGAAACAGGAGGCGGCCTTGCGTGCTGTGGTCCCTTCTCCCCCGCCCACGACTCGGCTGCCCTCACTGGTCACCGCCACCCTCACCACGGCTTTCCGAATGGCCGCTCCGCTCAGGTAGGTGGTGGGTGAGTGGCGCGGGGACGGGACCTGTTGAAACTTTCGCACCAATGAGCTCGAATTTTCGTGATTGACGACATGTCTGGCCAATGCAAGGGACACTAAGATCTGGCTGAAGGAGGCCCGCCCATGCGACCGGAGCCGAGTCGCGAAGCTTTGTAAATACTGGGTTCACCGACAAGTGACAGCTCAGCGCGTCGCTGTGAGACACGCCCAGTGCCCCGCCCCAATGCTGTGTGCGACCAATCAGAAGGGTCAAAGGATTACTGGGTGTTTTGCCAAAGAAAAATCCCCAGGATTGAAGAACCCTAGAACAGTGGTTCTCAACCTTCCCAATGCCGCGACCCTTTAATACAGTTCCTCATGTTGGGGTGACCCCCAACCATAAAATTATTTTCGTTGCTACTGGAATTTTGCTACTGTTATGAATCATAATGTAAATATCTGATATGCAGGATGCATTTTCATTGTTACAAATTGAACATAATTAAAGCATTGTGATGAATCACAAAAACAATATGTAATTATATATGTGTTTTCCGATGTTCTTAGGCGACCCCTGTGAAAGGGTCGTTCAACACCCAAAGGGGTCCCGACCCACAGGTTGAGAACCGCTGCCCTAGGAGGATTGGACCTATCCTGTGGGGATGGGGCCAAGATCATAGTATTATTTAAGGAACTTTGCTGGGATGCAGCTAAAAGTGAAAACTAGTCTGGGACTGATGTTCTGTGTAGGAAACATCCTGACCCTGACTCCAAAGTTAAGCATAAGGAGGCTTTCCTATTCAATCTGAAGCTAGACTGCAACCCTGCCTTTAAACACATTTCAACAGCTGGGGAAAACACTAGCCATCTGCACCTTCCTTCAAATGTCATAGGACCTGCCCTAGCTGGTTTTGGAAGGGACTTGTGGGAAGCATGAGAGTACAATGTTTTGGCTTGAAATATCTGAGTGTTCATTTATATTTTGATTCAATTTAGACTCAGTTCTTTTTATGTCCGGAAACTGTCTGAACACATTTCCGAATGGCCGCTCCGCTCAGGTAGGTGGTGGGTGAGTGGCGCGGGGACGGGACCTGTTGAAACTTTCGCACCAATGAGCTCGAATTTTCGTGATTGACGACATGTCTGGCCAATGCAAGGGACACTAAGATCTGGCTGAAGGAGGCCCGCCCATGCGACCGGAGCCGAGTCGCGAAGCTTTGTAAATACTGGGTTCACCGACAAGTGACAGCTCAGCGCGTCGCTGTGAGACACGCCCAGTGCCCCGCCCCAATGCTGTGTGCGACCAATCAGAAGGGTCAAAGGATTACTGGGTGTTCTGCCAAAGACTCGCGGCACCTGCAGGGTTCTGTCACTCCTTCTAGGTCAGTGGTTCTCAACCTTCCTAGTGCCGCGGCCCTTTAATACAGTTCCTCATGTTGTGGTGACCCCCAACCATAAAATTATTTTTGTTGCTACTTCATAACTGTAATGTTGCTACTGTTCTGAATCATAATGTAAATATTTGATATGCAGGATGGTCTTAGGCGACCCCTGTGAAAGGGTCGTTCATCATCCAGAGGGGTCCCGACCCACAGGTTGAGAACCGCTGCCCTAGGAGGATTGGGACCTATCCTGTGGGGACGGGGCCAAGTTCATAGTACTATTTAAGGAACTTTGCTGCGATGCAGCTAAAAGTGGAAACTAGTCTGGGACTGATGTTCTGTGTAGGAAACACCCTGACCCTGACTCCAAAGTTAAGCATAAGGAGGCTTTCCTATTCAATCTGAAGCTAGACTGCAACCCTAGCAGCCAATAATTCTTTCTCATCATTGATGTTTCTATCTCTCTCTCCCTCTCTGAAATCAATAAAAAATGTATATTTTTTTAAAATGTAGTATGATCACAGTCCTACAACTCTCAATCACTCAGCCGCTTAAAGGGCAACTTGGTTAGCTAAAGAGGTTACGAACTCCTGCAAATGGTACATGTGAATGGAAAAGGGGTGACACACTGCAACTGACAAGCTATGGGGGCAGAGGGGAGAGGGGTGCACTAAACTCAGAGACCAAAAGTAACCACACAGGATGGTGTGAACATAAAAATTCTTAATTAAAAGCACGTCATGGTAGTCAGTTATGTCCTAGGCCGGTAGCTTCCTTGACAAACGTCAATCTTTACTTTAAGTGAGCTTGTCTATTGTCTTTGTGCATCTGGGATTACATACCTTTGCAATGTCAGAGTCATTTTAGTTATAGTACTCTTGGTAGTTAGTGGTAATCTGTATTTGCTGTGTAACTTGCTGGGTCAGGTTTTGAGTGTATTAGGTACTCGGTGATAATTATCTAATTCTCACATGAAATCTTTAAGTTTAGAGAGTTTAAATGTCACACAGTATACCCAGACCACCTTCACCCAAGTATTCCTAAATGTATCCCTCTATTCCGGTCATGCTTCTGTTCAAAGAATGTCTTCTCCCTCTCTTAGAAAACCCTGCTGTACCTATTCCTTGCCCTGACACAGTCCTCCTGTAAACTCACCCTTAGAAGAAACCTGAAGACACACTTTTACTTTTTCTCAGTAGCCCTCCAGAGAACTGTGACAGGTATGGTAAGAAGAGCCGCACACAAATGAAATAGAAAAGACAAGAGATAATTTGGAAATATTGGGGGACCAGGTGGGTAAGTCCAACTCAAGTGGAAGGACTTCCACCCGTGCTCAGTCCGCATCGACCTTTTATAGTCTGAGGTAAAGAATGCAGTGGTTACCATAGTTACAGTTCTTGTGAGTTTCACCTGTTTTGATCATGTTTCCATTCCCTGCACTTCCTCAGCCCATTAGCTTCCCAGGTAAGATCTGGGGAGTGTTATAAGGTCAAGCCTAATTATGCTAAGAGGACTGAGCCCTCTAAGCTGGGACTTGTTTGTGACTTTGCCAGCAGGTCAGTCGAAGGCTCAACCCTATATCAGTTTCTCACAACACACTGCAACTGACAAGCTATGGGGGCAGAGTGAAGGGGTACACTAAACTCAGAGACCAAAAGTAACCACACAGGATGGTGTGAACATAAAAATTCTTAATTAAAAGCACGTCATGGTAGTCAGTTATGTCCTAGGCCGGTAGCTTCCTTGACAAACGTCAATCTTTACTTTAAGTGAGCTTGTCTATTGTCTTTGTGCATCTGGGATTACATACCTTTGCAATGTCAGAGTCATTTTAGTTATAGTACTCTTGGTAGTTAGTGGTAATCAGTATTTGCTGTGTAACTTGCTGGGTCAGGTTTTGAGTGTATTAGGTACTCAGTGATAATTATCTAATTCTCACATGAAATTTTAAGTTTAGAGAGTTTAGATGTCACACAGTATACCCAGACCACCTTCACCCAAGTATTCCTAAATGTATCCCTCTATTCCGGTCATGCTTCTGTTCAAAGAATGTCTTCTCCCTCTCTTAGAAAACCCTGCTGTACCTATTCCTTGCCCTGACACAGTCCTCCTGTAAACTCACCCTTAGAAGAAACCTGAAGACACACTTTTACTTTTTCTCAGTAGCCCTCCAGAGAACTGTGACAGGTATGGTCATCTCAGTCAACTATGGTTTGTGGACCTCTAGTGCCTTTAGGTTCTACGAAATGCAGCTCCTCCCAGGAGACAAGAACTTCCTTTTCTCTAAAGTCATAAAGTTTCATCAGATCAATATCTGAATAGTGCCTTTTAAAAGAGATTGGGTCCATAGTGTTAATATACAGGCAGTTCTCTGGATCCACAATGTTAATATGCAGGGTCAGGCAGCCTGGCAAGTGCATTGGGGCTTACACTAAAGGGTAGTCTGGTTTCCATAGCAACATTCATTCCCTTGCATGGAGGATTCTATCCTCTCTCCTGCCCACTCAGACTTCCCAGAATGAATTGATTCTCGTGACTATAGATATTTGTCTTTGATCTTCCAAAGAGAAAGGACATGTTCATCCAAAAACAACAACACCA